TTGATTACAAACTTGAAAATATTTGGATAATATCTGTTGACAACGAGTTGCTGTGCAAATCCTGCAATCGACCGAAGTCTGCATGAAAGTTTACGAACCGGATTTCGATTTCGGTGCGCGATCTTGATTGGACTATGCATGGACTCATTAGTCCAGCCAAACTCTACTCCATAATACCAGCCTAGTTCGGCAAGGGTGGAAACTGGACTTTTATAATCAGTTAACTCTCTTGCCTCGGGAAGATAGATGTTGGTCCGGTGCATACCACATCTTGAGGCAATGAAATATGCAGGTTGCCGTTTCATAACTATCAACGTTTGAGTTAATTGTGTCAAGGTGGTTAAATAAATCGAGGGATGAGGATGCTTCTGATTTGGCATGTGATGATAATTTTATTATCACTAAAATAATCTCATTAGACTCTAACAGTCTGACAAGAGTGTCTTGGGAGTCTTTCAGTAACAGGCTAACGGCATTCATTTTATGTCAGCCATTCTGTCACTTCCTGGAAATCAGTATAGTCAGGTCTGGTCATAGTCGGGACTAACATAGTCGTATGTTAGCCACGACACACTCTGGAATCACTTCCCGGACACCTTTACGAAGCCTGTATTGTCTGCAAAATATATATGTGGTACATTTGAAAATAAAACTCAGTTATGGTAAATTTCGAGAATTTCTAGAGGTGGTGTTATTAGTGCCCCACTGACAGATGGCCTGTATGTACTGTGGGTAATAATTAACGGTAACTTGGCATTTTGAAACATGTTGGCACTGTAAGGTTTCCAACGCTGTTGTCTTGTCTTTACAGTATTCCATTTAAAAGGGGATTTCAAAGATTCATACTCTGGATTTTCTTGTGGTGGTTGACTATTGGTAGATAGAAGCGATACAGCCATTTCTTATTCCGACAACAGTCAAGTCCCGTTAATCCGACATCGATGGTTTCATATGATTATGTCGGATTATCGAGTATGTCGGATAAACGAAATTTAGTAGTATCAACGTTCGTGATCGAAAATCGGACAACTACACGATAGATAAGGATTCAAACACGTAATAAAAAATATAAAATATATATTCATATTGTTATGTCACATTGTTGGCCGAATATGTTTTCTAATCATGCAACCTCTAAAGTTTAACACAAAACAACTGTTACGGACTGTATGACCGATTCAAAATACTTTAAAAAGCATAGTCTGGAATGGAAGTTGCAACTTTGAAACTGGTACCCAAAGCTGCTTTCTAAGTGGCTAACGTCGACTTCCTGTTGGTCATTTCATTGGTAGGTCATAGTTTGCGAAGGGTTGTTCTGACGTGACCTGTAATGGGATGTCCTCGTCGATAGCGAGAACTTGTATCTGATTTAAGGTAATCTAAGGTAATCTGAGGTAATCTAAGCATGTGAATGTGTTTATTTAAAGCATTAATTGTTTATTGTTAAGTAAGTTTACCTCGGCAGCCGTTGGACCGCCTCCGTGGTCTAGTGGTAGAGCGTCCGCCCGGAGAGCGGAAGGTCCGGGGTTCGATCCCCGACCGCGTCATACCAAAAGACGTTAAAAGATGGTACTTGTTGTTACCCTGTCTGGCGCTCGGCATTAAGGGGCTAAAACAAGGACTGGTCGGCTCGGAGTCAGTATACTGTGTCTGAGTGGGTTATTCATGTTAAACTGCGGCATGGTATCTCAGTGAGCTAGCACTATAAATCTGCATCAGTACAAGCAGCCACACAAACACACACACGTACATGCACGTCGCTATATAAGTGCAATAATCTTGGACGCGACGTTAAACCCCATTTCACCTCACCTCTCCAGCCGTTGTAATATGCAGCTACCAGCCGATTCGTCTCGCATCAAAACACGGGACTGTGTACTCGCGGGCATGTATATCACTGGCATGTGGCTATGCATCACTGATAGTGATGATAGAAGTGTCTGCGACAAGGCGAACTGTTTAATAGTGTTAACTGCTTCACCATAGGCACCCGCCAGCGACTAAAATGATGCCCGACACAATTCTCTATTTTGACATATGTTCCAGTGTTTTTGTCAGTTGAACAAGTGACTTTCCTTTGCATGTGTTTGTGACGGGTGCCATCGGTGGGACAGGATACGATCACCTTTTCGCGAGTACCTGGTATTATCACAATTTGATAGTGATTCATATGCTCATGATATATTTGGAATCGTATCATCGACGAGATTGCTTATGAATATGGAAATGGATTTGTCGCTTTTATTTACATTCTCAGTCAAAATCGAGGAGGAGGTTTTTATCCAACTTATAAACCGTCTAAATGCAAGAAATACCAGATAGAAAAATAAGAAGACGTCGGGATACCTTATAGTGAAACAATACAGTGCGGCGCGGTATAAAAGGAATTCTACGAAACCGTGCGAGAGAAAAACCACGTGCAGCATACACACAACTTGTGTGGATTGTGTGGAAAACAGTGGATTTCAAAACACCAATTAAAAATCAACTTTAGATTCATATCAAAAGGCCACTCTTTAAAATCCCACTGTAAAACCCTGGCAGGGGCATTCTGACGAAATCCTGTTGGATTCCTGGTTAACAATACATTTGCATTTTAACAACATATTAAAGAACCTAATCACACAGTTGTTTTACGTCATGAAAGGTTTATAATGTGAGTTAAAACTGTTCAAATATGAAAGTCCTCCCGAAATTTGTAACAAATAAACTACAATTCTTTTTTGCTCGACAAGACAACGCACTGTTGAAATAAACAAATAGATGTCCGTGGGGCGGAAGATGCGTCGTAGGGGGCCGTATACAAAGGCTGTCGGCCAGAGATGGATGGGGTGAGGTGAGGTGAAATGGGGTTTAACGTCGCGTCCAAGGTTATTGCACTTATATAGCGACGTGCATGCACGTGTGTGCGCGTGTGGCTGCTTGTACTAGTCCGGACTGATGCCGATTTATAGTGCTAGCCCATTGAGATACCATGCCGCAGTTTAACATGAATACCCCATTCAGACACAGTATACTGCCTCCGAGCCGACCAGTCCTTGTTTTAGACCCTTAATGCCGAGCGCCAGACAGGGTAACAACAAGTGACAACTTAGTCTTTTGGTATGACGCGGTCGGGGATCGAACTCCGGACCTTAAGCATGATTTTCATGCAGCAGCATTTCGTATAGGAGAAACCATGTCTCCGAAGGATTACAAGAGACTTTATTACCCAGTAGGCCCCCTCGGGACGTTTCCGAATGTGAGGGTTTACAATCTCTAGTAATCTCGAGGAGACATGGTTTGTCCAACTTATAAACCGACATATCGCATAGACAACGTTTTTAATTAAAAAAATGTAATAAAAACTCTCAAATGTATAACCTGTATCTGAGATGAAAATATCGCCTGCAGTCGTGAACCCGGTTCAATGAAACCGGTGACCTCAGCACGTGGGTTTTCGCAACGGTGCGAAATCTGCACGTGCGTCTCGCAATGGCACGAAATCAGCACGTGCGTCTCGTAGGCTGTTCGTAGTTTTTGTTCTATAAGGGTTTACAATGATTGTAAGCCCTCCGGCGAGGTGTTACCACAATTTCAAAAACTCCATATCGAGTTACACAAACAGCCAGTTGGTTTTTTAAATACAATTAATGTTAATTTTAAGTGGAATATCACTTTAACGAGGTTTTTAATTTACTTTGCACTACCGTTATACGTCATATACTGCACAATGTTTTAAAGGGACACTGACATATCACTATTTGCATATGCCTATATTTGTTATTCATAGATAAAAGTATCCCTATTAAGTTGAGTACTTTAGTATACTTTAACATATTCTCATGTTGTGTTTTCCACGCTGAAAAGTTTTGAAACTTTAGGTGTGTTTAGGGTTCTTCTTTGGCTGGTCACCTTTTATTGTCAAACGTTCAATGAGTGAGTGAGTGAGTTGGGTTTAACGCCGCTTTTAACAGTATTCCAGTTATATCACGGCGTGTCAGCTTAATGTTGGAGGAAAGCCCGACGTGATGCAGGTCTCAGACGTTTACCACTTCGGTGACACCCACGAGCACGGGTATGGTGCTGACAAACCTAGAAACATAATCGGGGCGAACCGGGATTCGAACCCACAATCATAGCTAGCTGGTGCTGACCAGTGAGACCGCCTCATCTGTTTCATATTTAGATCTATGCACAAAAATTCATTGTGTCAAAAACTCTCCACGAAACTGTAAGACAAGCGGGATGAATTCAACTTTCCAAAAGTCAAGTTTCCCTTCATGTCGAGCAATATTCCCCAGCTCCAGCCTTTGGTGTATTCATTTCACAACCTTTGATGCACAATCGATCATGCTCTTTTTCGAAACTTTCGTCATATGACTTTTGCTCAAAAAGCCTCAGCAAAACTTTCAAAAAGTGTTATGATAGACAAGCGGAGGACATTTCAAATTTGAAATATACTACTCAAAAGAAGTTTAGGATCACCTGATTCTTTCATACTACTATAGGTAATCTCTCATGTCGTGACAGATTAACTTTACCAGTATGAGGTGAGGTGAAATTGGGTTTAACGTCGCGTCCAAGATTATAGCACTTATATAGCGACGTGCATGCACGTGTATGTGTGTGTGTGGCTGCTTGTACTAGTCCGGACTGATGCCGATTTATAGTGCTAGCTCACTGAGATACCATGCCGCAGTTTAACATGAATACCCCACTCAGACACAGTATACTGACTCCGAGCCGACCAGTCCTTGTTTTAGCCCCTTAATGCCGAGCGCCAGACAGGGTAACAACAAGTACAATCTTTTAACGTCTTTTTGTATGACGCAGCCCGGGATCGAACCCTGGACCTTCCGCTCTCCGGGCGGACGCTCTACCTCTAGACCACGGAGGCGGTTTTACCAGTATGAAAGAATCGGGTGATCCTTAACGTCTTTTGAGTAGTATAGTTCAAGCGGTGTTAAACCCAACCCACTCACTCACTCACTAGTTATGTTTCGCCCATGCTTCCTTACCCCTGTGGCACTCGTAGTTACAGGATGACGTGTTGCAGCAGTTAAAGCACAGGTCCACCACGTTGTCATACTGTCGCTTGGAATGGTGTTTGGCATCACATTGCTGAAGTATATATTGCTGGATATATATGTCTTAAATTTAGGCCTCAACACCCGATCCCGTTAGTCGCCTCTTACGACAAGCATAGTCGCCTTCTACGGCAAGCATGGGTAGCTGAAGAACTATTCTAACCCGGATCTTCACGAGTCTTCTTGTATATAGGACGAGATAATATTTGCTGTGTTGAAATGTCAAATTTGGGAAATTATATTTGTGATAACTGTTGAATGTAGCCTCTTTCGCTTCCTTTTTCGTGCAAGTTTAGAATTTATAACATTAATAAACACACAAGTGTAGCTAAAGTTCAAACCAATCAGAAACAAAGTTCTAAATGACCGACTGAATGAATTGATCATACCGACTTTTTGACGCAGCCCGCGTCATACAGTTGTCCAAAGGTGTCTGTTATCTTTTTTTCGATAAAGCATACCTGTGATAAAAACATGAAAGGAAATAACTGATAAATCTGCATTGAAGGATAACAATATATCAGAATAACATTATACACATTTCGCGCCTCCGTAGGGACGATGTTTTACTCTATTTGCAAGCATCCATTTATCCCGGCCCCAGGATTATTTTAACAGCACTGTATGTCTTTCTATGAAATGTATTTCACAATGAGTGAGTGAGTATGGTTTTACGCCGCTTTTAGGAATATTCCAGCAATATCACGGCGGGGGACACCAGAAATGGGCTTCACACATTGTACCCATGTCGGGAATCGAACCCGGGTCTTCGGCGTGACGAGCGAACGCTTTAACCACTTGGCTACCCGACCGCCCCTATTTCACAATGAAGATAAACGACATCTGGCGGTGCAGTAGTGTCAGGTCATTGACCTCGACTCATGATCAGAGATGATCCTATCGACACATCAGTTGATGTCGCACCAGATTAAATTAAGATTTTAAAAACAGTTTGTTTGTTTGTTTGTTTGTTTGTTTAACGCCGCAACCAGCAGTATTCCAGCTATATGACGGCGGTCTGTAAATAATCTAGTCTGGGCCAGACAATCCAGTGATTGACATCATGAACATGCCATCGATCCACGCAATTGGTTGCTGAAGACCTATTCTACCCCGGGTCTTCACGGGTCGTTTAGCTTCAGTATTCAATGGCAGTATACCTCGTCTGGTTCACAGAAGTCTAACTGCGTACAGTAGGACATGTTCTGCAGACCCACACACGTTGCACATTCCAGTTTCCCAGTATCTGGTGGAAATTGAAAAAAAAATATATTTTCTTAAAATCTAATAGCCAATAATTGTTAGAGAAGTATTTACTTTTAAAACAGGCCTTCAAACCCGAGATCTGAAACTATTTTTACAATTTGCAGTTAAAATGTTTGGGTGGTGTTGTTGTCTTAGCAATATTCCAGCTATATTGGGTCAGTCTGTAAACAATCGAGTTCGGTCCAGACGAGCCAGTGATTTATGTGACCGAATCGCAGAGTCTCACTTTCAAATCCATGCAGTCGCCTCTTAAGACATGACACCCTGCATCCCAAAGTGTAATTAAAGGAGGAGATATGGATGCTGATATATCTCTCTCGTTGAAGTTGATATTCATTCAATAACGACAATCATACTATTATAATTTACCGGTATTCCTGTACAGTGTCCAACAGGTATCTGAAAATCCATGCTTATCCATGCTCATTGGGGTGTCCTCACCTCCACCTACGCCTCTTTGGAGTGTCGCCTTAATCCATTAAAAGTGACGTCAAACGCTGTGGTCAGTGTTATGTACTGTTGTTGAGTGTGACGTCAAGGGCTCTGGTTAGTGTTATGTACTGTTGTTGAGTGTGACGTCAAAGGCTGTGGTAAGTGTTATGTACTGATGTTGAGTGTGACGTCAAAGGCTCTGGTTAGTGTTATGTACTGTTGTTGAGTGTGACGTCAAGGGCTCTGGTTAGTGTTATGTACTGTTGTTGAGTGTGACGTCAAAGGCTGTGGCTAGTGTTATGTACTGTTGTTGAGTGTGACGTCAAACGCTCTGGTTAGTGTTATGTACTGTTGTTGAGCGTGACGTCAAACGCTGTGGTTAGTGTTATGAACTGTTGTTGAGTGTGACGTCAAAGGCTGTGGCTAGTGTTATGTACTGTTGTTGAGCGTGACGTCAAACGCTGTGGTTAGTTTTATGTACTGTTGTTGAGTGTGACGTCAAAGGCTCTTGTGAGTGTTATGTACTGTTGTTGAGTGTGGCGCCAGAGGCTCTGGTTAGTGTTATGTACTGTTGTTGAGTGTGACGTCAAGGGCTCTGGTTAGTGTTATGTACTGTTGTTGAGTGTGACGTCAAAGGCTCTGGTGAGTGTTATGTACTGTTCTTGAGTGTGACGTCAAAGGCTCTGGTTAGTGTTATGTACTGTTATTGAGTGTGACCTCAAAGGCTCTGGTTAGTGTTATGTACTGTTGTTGAGTGTGACGTCAAGGGCTCTGGTTAGTGTTATGTACTGTTGTTGAGTGTGACGTCAAAGGCTCTGGTTAGTGTTATGTACTGTTGTCGAGTGTGACGTCAAACGCTCTGGTTAGTGTTATGTACTGTTGTTGAGTGTGACGTCAAACGCTCTGGTTAGTGTTATGTACTGTTGTTGAGTGTGACGTCAAACGCTCTGGTTAGTGTTATGTACTGTTGTCGAGTGTGACGTCAAAGGCTCTGGTTAGTGTTATGTACTGTTGTTGGGTGTGACGTCAAAGGCTCTGGTTAGTGTTATGTACTGTTGTTGAGTGTGACGTCAAAGGCTCTGGTTAGTGTTATGTACTGTTGTTGGGTGTGACGTCAAAGGCTCTGGTTAGTGTTATGTACGGTTGTTGAGCGTTACGTCAAAGACTCTGGTTAGTGTTATGTACTGTTGTTGAGTGTGACGTCAAAGGCTCTGTTTAGTGTTATGTACTGTTGTTGAGTGTGACGTCAAACGCTCTGGTTAGTGTTATGTACTGTTGTCGAGTGTGACGTCAAAGGCTCTGGTTAGTGTTATGTACTGTTGTCGAGTGTGACGTCAAACGCTCTGGTTAGTGTTATGTACGGTTGTTGAGTGTGACGTCAAAGGCTCTTGTTTGTTTGGTGTACTGATTAAATGTATCTTACCTTTTCCCCCACACAGGTGCATGTTGCACAGATCTGTATCACAACACTGTTCACACACATGAGCTGCAATGTTCTGCCGCTTGCGCCCTGTGAGGGCCATGTTAGGCTGGAAAGCGCCCTGAGGTCTCTTGTACCCCAATGCAGCACACGACTGAAGGAGAAGATGGGTTCAGATGAAACTGTTGAGTTGGAGAGTGGTCTTACATTTTATCCAGCGATGTGGTTCAATACCCGAATTGTATTGCATTTGTTTTACCTAAAACGGTTGTATTTACCGTCTGAGTATTATACGCGTAAAATTGTATTTCAAATCCATGTATACTCTCCAAAACAAGAAACGCATGACCGATTGCATTAAAATGAGTATTTTTTATTTTACCAAAATGGCTTTAAAAATGTGGAAATACGCCATAGATCATCTACATCTACGGTGTGATTATTTGGTATTGGTAATTGTGCCATTTGGTTTGAAATTTACACTTAGGGTATGTTGTTCACAAATTTCTAAAACATGTCGCCCAAACGCCACCTTTAACGTTTCAAATATGCACATTATGGAAAAAACGTAAAGGCTCTACCTGGTTATGAAAAGAAAACATCTGTCTACAATATTTTTGAATGGTTTTGATCTGTGGCAATTCTATGCCTCTCCTATGGACCAATCAGATTCCACCTCTCGTATCACTTGCATTTGCTCCAGTCAAGACGATCTGATCGATAATCAAGGTCTATATTGTGATAAAACGGGTCTTACATCGCGAAGTGCATCAGATCACGTGAGCACCTTGATTAAAAACATGAAAAGATTTCGATTTCGTTGGGCGGTTTTGATTGGACTATGCATAGACCATTAGTCCAGCCAAAATCTAACTCCATAATACCAGCCTAGTTCGGCAAGGGTGGAAACTGGACTTTTAAAGTCAGTTAACTCTCTTGCCTCGGGAAGGTGCAGAAATACCAGACTTGCTGAATATCTTCTTGATATTGGACATTTTATACATTTACACAAACGCAGACAAGTGCACATGGATACTGCAACTGCTCTTTCAACGGGTACGGAATAAGAAGCTATTGGATGGGGATTAGGCGCAAAACAATGGCGACTGGCCCTCTTGGTTGAACGTGTTATAATGAGGTGGGGTGGCAGGCGTAACGCTGGGACAGTATGGACAGGCAATGGTCGTGTTTCTTAATGATACTCACGGAAGTGAGTTTACAGCCAGTGTCGTACAGGATGTGCCCCAGATCTGTGATGTACTTTTCAGTATGACAGATCTGAAACAAGTGTTGGTAGATTTTTGTAAATGCTTGCCGTAAAAGGTGACTATGCTTGCCGTAAAAGGCGACTATGCTTGTCGTAAAAGGCGACTAACGGGATCGGTTGGTCAGGCTCGCTGACTTGGTTGATGTATGTCATCGATCCCAATTACGTGGATCGAAGCTCATGATATCAATCACTGGATTGTCTGGTCCAGACTCGATTATTCATAGACCGCCGTCATATAGCTGGAATATTGCTGAGTGCGGCGTTAAACAACAAAACTATTTTTTTTAAATTTAAAAAAATTATATATCATATGTCATATGAAACTATCTGTTTTCTCTAACTTCTTTGGGCTGGTATACTTAGTGTCTACACTTACAGTGAAGTCGGGTTCACTCGAACTCCATTGGCGGGGTAAATTGTTTATATTATGAATGCGCCCCTTACAGAAAATACCATGGCACTATGAAATAACTGAACAAATTGAACAGCACTTTAGTCGAAACGTGTATATAGAATCTAACAAAATAGAGCATGACATGACGAACAGAACTTATAAAAAAAAAGTTACAATCAATTTAAGAGAATCATATAGTGGCCACGTAGCATTGTTTTACTTCATTCTGGATATTTTATCGTCAAATATGTCGTTTAATTAATTCAGATAATCGTCTCACCTCGATCTCGTCGCATAGCACATCCTTCTTGCAGTCCTCAGGTTTTGTCATTCTACTGCACTCCAGGCAGCGAACGCGGCTTCCTGGTAAATATAGCCACAAAACCCTTCCCATATCCAATAGAAATCTCTGCCAAAAGCAGAGTCGATTGTACAGTCCGACTATATCATGAACATGTGTTTATGATTCACTATCAAATAGTGATGATACCAGGTGTTGGCGAGAGGTTAGCGTATCCTGCCCCACCGGTGGCACCGTCACATATACCAGGTAATCATTAGTATGTCTGAATAGTAGATACACGACGCCATGTGTGTCCAATTGATGGCGTTAGCCGAATGTTTCATATGTCAAATTTTGTCTATATTCAAACAGCCACAAATCTTGAAACTCATAATGTAGTCCTACAAATGTTTTTGTTGGTTTCTACGCATACTATATATTTTTATTATTCTACTTATTCATGTCAATGGAGATACATCATGTTATAATTAAATGGTGTATTTCATGATATTGATTACGTATCATTGTTTCAGTAAAAAGGATATGCCTTGTTTCTACGCATACTAGCCAGCGGTAACACGTCACTGACAATTTCTCGCGTCAATGTTTATTTGTTTTGTTTGTTTGATGTTTTACGCCGCACTCATCAATATTCCAGCTATATGACGGCTGTCTGTAATTTACCCAAGTCTGGACCAGACAATCCAGTGATTGACCTCATGAGCATCGACCCACGCAATTGGGATACGATGACATGCATCAACCAAGTAAGCGAGCTAGACCACTCGATCCGTTAGTCGCCTCTTACGGCAAGAATAGTCTTTGACGGCAAGCATGGGTTGCTGAAGACCTATTGTTTCAATGACTACCGCCTGGCTAGCAGAATGAAACACACTAAAGAAACACACTGAAGATGACCTGGCGTAAATTATTTAATCAATAATTAATAGATATGCATGTCGACACAATTAAGCTGAAAACGATATTCATATTGACATGCTGAATGAGACAAAAATACTTGTAGTGAAATGTATTACATGCCCAGGATTGCGGGATTTGAATCCCTTTCGCCTTTTTCAGACTTTCGTTCGTTTCACAAAATTGTTATGAAAAGCATTTGTCAATAAGTGCAAACACTGATCAGTTTTACAAGACGTTCCATATTAATTCATTTGTCTGATTTATCCTGTCACTTTTACATTTGTATATATGCACTTACCAACAGCAAACTGAGCACATCCCACAAATGCCACAACAACTGAAGCAGAAATCCATGCTGTTATATAATTTTAACTCAAAATATATTTTAGTATATACCGTATTCGACGTAAAAAGCGCCCCGCTCCAATAAGCGCCCACGGCGATATTGGCTGATATATTGGCTTGTGAACGATCCAAATTAGCACCCCATCCGATTGATCAATGTACGCAAGACTCGCACTCGTGTGTTATATGCACCCTTAATTATGGGCAATTAAATTCTGGAAAATATATCTGTTGTGTATGATACGCACATACCTTTCTTTTGTTTCATTTCAGGCTGTCAGCATAAACCACGACGTTTACGATCTTTTCAATTATATTCTAATAAGAGACCCCTATTTCTAATTTTGAGAGCGCCCCGGGTGCTTATTAAGTCGAATACGGTAGTTTTTGTTATTCATGTGCTCCACTCCTGTATTTTACCCTAACGTTTTACAGCTAAGGCACGAGGATTCTTATGTAATGTTTGTAATTTGAACAGTGTCGTGACGTCAGCTAGTTATGACGTAACTCCAGAAGTGTACTTTATCGTAGGATATGTCGAAGAGTACACTGAATGATATTATAAGCAACGATCAGCCAATCACCGAGCCTGATGGTACGATGAAACACGATCAACCAATCGCCGAGCCTGACGGTACGATTAAACACGATCTGCCAATCGCCGAGCCTGACGGTACGATGAAACACAACCAGCCAATCACCAAGCCTGATGGTACGATCCCTTAAACGCCTTTTAAGGGCATTTATTCTAACCGGAACGTCTACGTACGTCTTCACACGCGGGGCGGTCGGGTAGCCTAGTGGTTAAAGCGTTCGCGCGTCACGCCGAAGACCCGGGTTCGATTCCCGACATGGGTCCAATGTGTGAAGCCCATTTCTGGTGTCCCCCGCCGTGATATTGCTGGAATATTGCTAAATGCGGCGTAAAACCATACTCACTCACTCACACGCAGGAAGTGGAACCTGTACATTATGTCAACCGTAAACACCTTGGTTAGAACAGGTCTTCAGCAACCCATGTTTGTCGTAACAGGCGACAAACGGGATCGGGTGGTCAGGCTCGCTGACTTGGTTGATGCATGTCATGGTATCCCAATTGCGTAGATCGATGCTCGTGATGTCGATCACTGGATTGTCTGGTCCAGACTTTTACAACAGCCGTCATATAGCTGGAATACTTCTGAGTGCGGCGTTCACAAACAACACCGTACATTATGTAACGTGCCCACTCCATCACCTACGTCAATAATGCCGCACGTTGCCGGATTGTTAAAATATCAACCTGGATGATTGTTTTGTAAGAAATGAGCGTTTACAGGCACGCGTTACTACTGTATTACGTCACATAATGTGAGTCAAGAGCGTGTCCAAAGTGAGGTGAAATAAGGTTTAACGTTGCGTTCAAGATTTTTGCAATCACATAGCAGTTAACATAAATACTCAACTCAGACACCGCATACTGACTCCGAGCCGACCAGTCCTGTTTAACCCCTAAATGACGAGCGCCAGACAGGGTAACAACAAGTACCATCTTTTAACGCCTTTTGGTATGACGCGGACGGGGATCGAACCCCCGACCTTCCGCTCTCCAGGCAGACGCTCTACCACTAGACCACGGAGGCGTGAACTTGGGGTTAGGACTTGGACGATAAGCAAGTGAATTCACATAAATCTGACCCAGATTCTGCAGGCACTTTTTGTGCATATAAATAGAATACCGATACACCTGAATTATTGCAATATAACATTGTTCAGTGAGTGAGTATGGTTTTACGCCGCTTTTTTGCAATATTCCAGCATTATCACGGCGGGGGACACCAGAAATGGGCTTCACACATTGGACCCATGTCGGGACTCGAACCCGGGTCTTCGGCGTGACGCGCGAACGCTTTAACCACAAGGCTACCCGACCGTTCCTAACATTGCTGAGGCAATGTGTCCACGTATCATATAATCAATTTGTACGACTAAGGCACACACGTTACTGTCTAATATTTATTGTCCACCATCCTACCATCGCTTCAATGCCATGTATAAAGTTGACATCGAAAACATTTATCTGTAAAAGTATGTATCATTGACTGAAGCAAATGTTTCATATAACTTCACAACTGTTCATTGTGGGTAAACAGACTTAAGACGTCAGTAAGCGACATATTTCCTATACCTGTAAGGTAACTAAAAGTTGCTATACTTACAAAATATAAAACTGTTATCCATATTCCAGTGCCTGTGTGTCACTTACATGTAGGTCAAAGCTTGAAAGAATACCATTTGTGCGGTTCTTTACCTTAAATTACAAAGACCCGTAGATAAACTATCACACAAAGAGGTCAGCCAATCCTTGCTTGTTAAAATTATCTTGAAATTGTAATTTTATCTGCAACTATTTGGTGTCTTGAAAAAAACACCTGATACAATGTATAGCTTTAGATTCATTGCACTGACGATATGGTGAAAACTGGCAAAAGTTGTTAATAACAGTACTGTGGAAATGCAAGAAAAATGTTTTTGACCGTTATAACAAGATAGAATGTATCAGTGACTGGTGCTATTGAAATATCAAGACACTACCGTTCAACCTACCAGTGGTTGAAGTATTGAGCCACAAGGAGTCCTATCGACAATTTTACAGGAGACATATTCGAACGAATCACCAAGTTTAGATTCCTTGTTCAATGAAGCAAGTCTGAAACGGACTATAAAAATATGCGCACGAGACTCCAATATATCTTAATAATATAGTCTTCATAAAACATCTAACCCACACCAAATAAAGTAAATTAATGAAAATTCTAGATGTGCATCTTAGAAAATAACAAAATGACGCTTCGTTTGTTTTGTCACACTGCTCCCATAACGTATGTTGCATTACACTTGCATAGCCATGGTACACGACACGGAGTATGACGTAGGAAATGTGTACAAGTTCTTTACACTTGAGGGAGATGGAAGGAAAACATTTATTAGTTTAGATAGGGTTATTACCGAACTGCCCAAGCTCTTGGGCTTTAATACCAAGTATACGGTATGATAAATAAATTTTTAAAATGTAGGGGTCGTCTCAAAACCAAAACGGATATGAGACAGCTTTGATAAAGTCGTGATTAGGCGGACAGTGTAAAGCTTTATGAATTCGGGAGGAGATTAAAAAACCCATTAATTATTGCCCTCCATGGGGTTTCGATACATTGCACGTGGCGATGACCGGACAGTTTTCAGTGGGAAATATTCACAATTCACATTATCTCCGCACCATTTAGGACTGTAGCAGTCAGGGCTTCCAGATCATTACCCGTGATGAAACATGGGTTAATACGTATCATTCCACTGACTACATGTGGCTACGTCTGATGGAAGAAAAGCACCCATGGTACCATCAGGAAAAGGTAATCGTGTCATTGTTTCTCATGCCGGAACCTGTGATCAGTGGCTTTTTTATGGATGTGAGCTGGTTTTCGAGGCGAAAAAGAAAACTATTGATTATCATTAGAATATGAATGGTGATGTGGTCAAAGAATGGTTGGAACATCAGCTACTGCCCAATCTAAACAACCAGAGCGCCATAATGCACATACAGTAAACTCCGGTTATAACGAACACGCTTATAACGAACTGACGGATATAACGAACTTACTTTTTAGTCCCGACTATTTGCTGTAGTTATGCTGTATATATGCTTATAACGAAATACGGTTATAACGAACTAAACGCCAGGTAATATAACGTCAAGAACCAGATACTGTCGCGCCAACCATGATGGTCTGAAGACGACCATGCTGGAATATCTGACATCTTGCAATGTCGACTTCAGACCATCTGAAACATGGAGAAAATTCGCCTGAATAAAAAAACCAGTAAAATACAACACACAACGCCGTCCTACGTCCGCCAGTCAGACATAGTGAGCTCAACCATATTGAGTGAGTGAGTGAGTTGGGTTTAACGCCGCTTTTAACAGTATTCCAGTTATATCCCGGCGTGTCAGCTTAATGTTGGAGGAAAGCCTGAAGTGATGCAGGTCTCAGACGTTTACCACTTCTGTGAAACCCACGAGCACGGGTATGGTGCTGAAAAACCTAGAAACATAATCGGGGCATAACATAATTAATGTTTTTAATCAAGGTGCTCACATGATTTGATGCATTTCGCGATGTAAGACCCGTTTTATCACAATATAGACCTTGATTATCGAGCCATTTTGTTTGAAGAAAATGCAAGTGATACGAGTGGTGGAATCTGATTGGTCCATAGGAGAGGCTTAGAAGGGACATAACTCGTAATAACCACTGGTGGCGCTACGATAGAGCCCAGGAATTCCAGCCTAGTTCGGCAAGGGTGGAAACTGGACTTTTAAAGTCAGTTAACTCTCTTGCCTCGGGGAAATAGGCAAGAGGCTAAAGATGACGTCCTTGAAATAGGACGTCGGTACCGCCAACGTGACGGCGTAGATCTCGGCCTTGTAGCTCCAGTTAGCACACGCTAGGGGCAAGGTACAGATTCAGATACGTCATCAGCAGGGTCAGATACAGGTTAAAGAAATCATCTGTAGAACAAATACTTCTTGATTCAAAACCCCAACCTTCCAATATTCATCCCCTTTCACAGCTTTAAACAATTTCACCATGTCTCCAAGCAACCATAATACACATACAGTAAACTCCGGTTATAACGAACACGCTTATAACGTACTGACGGATATAACGAACTTACTTTTTAGTCCCGGCTATTTGCTGTAATTATGCTGTATATATGCTTATAACGAACTACGGTTATAACGAACTATAAATAGTAGTCCCCTTGAGTTCGTTATAACCGTAGTTTACTGTACATGCATCATAGTTGCTACCCCGTCAACGCATATCTCAATGAAGTACAATACCAACAATATTTTGAGACCACCCAAAACTCAGGTGACATTTGCACCTGTGAGAACGCACGGTCATCAACCTGGGACATGTGTTAGGTAATGATTACCTTAGGGTATAGGCCGTTTCATATATGCACGACAAAACACGACTTTTTTCGAAGTTTATCATCATTTTACTTGTAAAAGTACCTTCTTTTAGTAATCAGAGTGTCAGTAAGGATAGTTTAGATTAGGTAGATTTGCGTTATTTTGATTTATGCTATTTTCATAGACCTATTTATCGTATTTATTAAATGAAGCTTAAAAAACTGTTTTCCTACATTTCCGGCAGTACTTAAGTAACAGTGATTTCGCACAATATAGATAATTGATTTCTGAATGACAAAATGTTTTCATTGCAAAGGTGATTTCGTTTTGATGTTTTAAAGGGTATTCATTGTAAATATTTTATCCTGCATTATCCCACTATCAAATACTTTAATTCATGTGATTACATATTCATTTATCGATGCTCATGATGTCAATCACTGGATTCTCTTGTCCAGATTTGATTATTAACAGACCGCCGTCATACAGCTGGAATATTGCTGAGCTCGGCGTTAAACAACAAACAACAAACAAAACAAAACATATTCATTAAGTATTTTTTTAAATGTATTTAGTGATACATGTATATTTGTTTAAATGTCTCATCATATAAATTTGAACTTTTAAGCCTGCTCTACATATCTTGAACTTTTAAGTTCATGTATTAAAAGAGTCGGTCCCTACAGGAGAAGTTCGCTATTGGGAGGGTGAATTAATCACTCTCGCCATACTTGTTGTTTGTTTGTTGTTTAACGCCGCACTCAGCAATATTCCAGCTATATGACGGCGGTCTGTAAATAATCGAGTCTGGACCAGACAATCCAATGATTGATATCATGAGCATTGATCCACACAATTCGGATCGATGACATGCACCAACCAAGTCAGCGAGATTGACCACCCGTTCCCGTTCGTCGCCTTTTACGACAAGCATAGTCGCCTTTTACGGTAAGCATGGGTTGCTGAAGACCTATTGTACCCCGTATCTTTAGTTAGTTTTGTATCATCACTATTTGATAGTGATTTCTAAACACATGCTCATGCAATAGTGGTACAATAGGCTCTGTTTTAGTAGATATTTCTCATGAACATGGATGGGTTTTTTCGTTTTTATTTATCTTCATGGTAGTTATTCTGGTTTAGTAGTAGCTTTGTGTAGAATCGTTACCTAATGTAAAAAATGGTTTAACCTAACCCTTTCACGGTGCGTTGTAGTGTCGATGATGCCCTCGTTGGGTGACTAAATCTAATCATGTTTTAATCTAAGTATAAGGATTTTAACATGTGGAAGATCTTAGAATCAAAACATTTCGAAGATCTTGCAAAGACATAAACCAACGCCAAGGGTTTCCAAATTGGCAGTGGAAATAATGAGCCCAGTAACATGAAAAGGAGGATGTGATTGCGACGTGTCACCATGGTGATTCTGGTCCTATCCGTTGGCCTGGATCGTTTCGATTTGCTATAACCAGACTCGGTGGTCCAGGGACGTCTTCACAAAGCGATCTTAGCGCTAAGATGATCGTAACGCCCATACATAAACATAGGCTTACGATAGTCTTAGCGCTAAGATCATTTTGTGCAAGCGGGCCCAGGTGAGCAAGAGCGCCGTGGCACCATGTTCTGTAGAGATGGCATATACCCAAGAGTAACAGATAAAAACAGGGTCATATTTTATATTACCAATGACCAGTGACTCGCAACCCCGGAAAAAAACTCGTTTGTTTCCAGACATAAATATGTTCTCTTCGGTACACATAGAGAATCTCACCCGAGTGTCTTTTGATATCAAATATATCGACACGAGTTGATAAAAGTGGAAACATTCCGAGGCTTGCCAAGGATTTTTGCCACTTTTATCAACGAGTGTTGATTCATTTGATATCAAAAGACACGAGGGTGAGATTTTATTTATCATCCAACATCATTCTTTCAACTTTTTCAATTTGTAGACAGTAATTAGCAGTGTCTTCAGTGTAAAAAGTCCTGAAAACAGCTTCAGTAGCAGAGCCATTTGTTATGTCATTTGATTGTGATGTCATGGTAACCAATGACGTCACAATGGTCTGCAAACCATTGTGATGTAATTTCATTGCAGCCAAGCGATATCTCCTGTTGGAGCCAGTTTTGGATGATAAACACGTTTATCTGAAGGAAACACATGTACACACCCTTCACAATAATGTTTATTGAGTACTGGATAATGTTTATTGAGTACTGGATAATGTTTATTGAGTACTGGAAGCATCTGACAGTCAAAGAATGTGCTTTTGTGGTGTAGACGTTATGCCACGCCCTTACCGCCCGTTGTGGCTGTTGTGGTTGGTTGCCGTAGAAGATGGTGTCACAGTCGTTGTAGATTTGTTGGAGAGATCTGAAAAAGGAATGATAACTTTTACATATGTGTGCGTTTGTTGTTTAAGGCCGCACTCAGCAATATTCCAGCTTTATAACCCCGTCCTGTAAATAACCGAGTGTGGACCTGACAATTCAGTGATTAATATTATGAGCAAGCGCCCACGCCGCCGGAGTATGTTAACACAACATCGACCAAGTCACTCCCGATCCATTCTGGCGCATCTCACAAGTAAAGGTTCCCGGGGACCTATTTTCTTACCCGGAAACATTCTACCCTGGTACCTACTTATAACAGCCTTTAACTGAAGATATGTGACCGAATTATACAATTATAGATGTTTAACTACAGTTGGTTGGTTGGTTGGTTGGTTGGTTGTTTAACGCCGCACTCAGCAATATTACAGCTATTTGACGGCGGTCTGTAAATAATCGAGTCTGGACCAGACAATCCAGTGATTGATAGCATGAGCATCGATCCACGCCATTGGCATCGATGCCATGCATCAACCAAGTCAGCGAGCCTGACCACCCGATCCCGTTAGTCTCCTTTTTAAGACAAACATAGTCGCCTTTTACGGCAAGCATGGGATGCTGAAGACCTATTCTACCCCGGAATCTTCACGGGTCTGTTTAACTACAGCAACATATTCAAATTCTTAGAGGAATCATGTGAAGTCCACCACACGCAATTACAATACTCAATCTTCAAAGTAGGAACAACACTATAGATACATGACAATACAGGTGTACTTCTAAACTTCAATTGACCATCAGATTGGTGAAAAAAACAGAGTCAGAAAGCAGCATGGAAGAAGAATACTAAAATAACGTTGATTTAATATTGTAATAATTCCGCGGGCGCATCTTTCAGTTTTTATACTGAAAGGAACTAATATATCCTTCACTTCATTCACTATGAGGGAAACACATAACACGGGACAACATAGTATGCGATGTTATGTAGAAAAGATTTAAGAAATGTCTTCAATGAATCGCAAACATTATTTTCAAACATGACATTGCCTCAGTGTAAATTTAAGTTTTTAAAAATTGAAAGATTTTTTAAATTTTTTTTAATCAATTATCCTTCAGTTCTTACCGCGACATCGTACAGCAGCCAAATATTCCATATAAAGCAGAAGACCATCAACGTTCTTCACGTTCAACATGTGTTCCTCATCCGGGTCTGACGCTAGGATCATTTGTTCCTTCAGGTCGACGTCATGTCCAATTCCAACAACAAAAATCGTCACGTTGTGCCTCTGAAGTTCCAAGGCTGAGGCTAACGTCTCGTACTTTTTTTCTGATCCACCGTCGGTGAAGATGACAACGACCTTAGTAACGTATAACACGGAATTAGTCGTTTGATTCATGATGCCTGGGTGTATGAGGGCAGAAGAATGGTAATTTAAAGACATGGCAACGCACTAAAACAATTGAACTGAACATGTTTTACCTAAAAACAACCAGACAAGTTACAATAGACATCCTTTGAATGGTACAAACACTTTGTTCTTAAAGACCACAACTTACTGTGCAGAGTTGCATCCCTTAGCTGGCAGGATCTGCTGATCTTAGGTTTAATTCCGATTAGTCATATGATCTATGGTTTGACAGAATTACAGCAATTCGCACCTATCCTCCATTATAAAAACATGTCATATAAGAGTAGCAGCCTGACGACAACCGGACAAACCCCCAAATCATCTGTTCGTAAATAAATTGCAAGTGATTCCTGATATTTGATTGGCTAACAAAGCAATTTTCTTGCGCTTGGAAGTTTCCACAAATCGAAAATAAGACCACGCCTACCAACGGACAACTGTTTCCTGATTGGTTGTGATGTATAAAGGGCGGGGCTTGTGTTGCATTATTGCGCTGAATGATGTCACTGATTTGCATACGACTGGTATTTTGGCGTTTAAGGAGGCACACAAGTTAACCCCGGGTAAGGTTTGATCTTTACGTCTTTACCTCCATAAACGCAAACAACCTGTGAAGATCCGGGTTAGAATAGGTCTTCAGCAACCCATGCTTGCCGTAAAAGGCGACTATGCTTGTCGTAAGAGGCGACTAACGGGATCGGGTGGTCAGGCTCGCTGACTTGGTTGATGCATGTCATCGATCCCAATTGCGTGGATCCATGCTCATGATTTCAATCACTGGATTGTCTGGTACAGACTCGATTATTTACAGACTGCCGCCATATAGCTGGAACATTGCTGAGTGGGTCGTTAAACAACAGACAAACAAACAAACTGTAAGCTTCTCAGAATGAGGAGTTCGAACCTTGATGGCGTCCGATCGGCTACTATGTTGATACCACTGAAGGGCCCGTTCCAGAGCGAGATGGGTATATGTGCCGGCATCCGTTTGCACGGAGGACAGTTTGGAGTCCATTTCATTCAGCAGGCGTCCCTTGTCAGAGAAATCCTTGAAATGAATCAGTTCCTTCAGCTTATTGTTGAATATCATCATGCCAATTCTTGAGGAATCAGGGGACACGTCAAACTTTCCAATAAGCTTATCAAGGAACTGATTCATCTTAATCCAGTCGTCATAATGAATACTACCAGATCTGTCCAAGATAAATGTGATGTCTTCCCGAGCTCCACATCCTGAAAAGGACAAAGGGAGGAGACTCTATCCAATTATAATGTGTTTGTTTGTTTGTTATTTAACGCCGCACTCAGCAACATTCCAGCTATATGACGGCGGTCTGTAAGTAATCAAGTCTGGACCAGTCAATCCAGTGATTGACAACATGAGCATCGATCCACGCAGTTAGGATACAATGACATACATCAACAAAGTCAGCGAGCCTGACCACCCGATCCTGTTTGTCGCCTCTTACGGCAAGCATGGGTTGCTGAAGACCTATTCTACCCCGGATCTTCACGGGCCCATTATTATGTTATTATTATGCTGAGGAAGAATGTCTTTAATTTTGAAGTGTAACGTTAAAGATGGAATATATCCTGTGAGTGAGTATTGTTTTACGCCGCTTTTGTCGGGCATCGAACTCGGGTGTTCGGCGTCTATATTCAGGATCATTGTACCTGTCTAAATAATGCTTACCTAAAAAGTTCAGGAGTTTGGGTCCCGCACAAGGGTCAGAAGCTATGGTTGGCAGTGGCCCACTTGCTGGAAAATATCAATATTCATACTTACTATTTGAACCCAAAAATATGATGCAATAAAGTGAGTGAGTGAGTTGTGTTTAACGCCGCTTTTAACAGTATTCCAGTTATATCACGGCGTGTCAGCTTAATGTGGGAGGAAAACCCGAAGTGATGCGGGTCTCAGACGTTTAACACTTCGGTGAAACCAACGAGCACGGGTATGGTGCTGACAAACCTAGAAACATAATCGGGGCGAACCGGGATTCGAACCCACAATGATAGGTTTCTGGCGTGCCCAAGGGACGCAATTTGGTACATCGGATCGCGCCCCCTGATGCCATAAAGGTATGACTGTATCATGGAGGTATATGTTAGGGGAGAGAATGTATGGAGGTTCCTCATAATAAAGAAATTGACATCTAAATTTTCTTCCTTTTGTGTATCACTTCTAAATGCCTTACGGGGGCACGGGTGGCCCAGTCGTCTAGGGCGCCGCGATTCGCCAAGGCCGTAGTAAACTTTTTTGGCAGGGGGGTAAATATTTGTATAAGTATCACTTGTCCCCAACTTGATTCAAATAAAACTGCTTTCTATACAAAATCTAGGGGGGCAACTGCACCCCCGCCCCCCGGCTGGCTACGGCACTGTTCGCTGTGCAGAGTTGCGTCCCTTGGGCACGCCAGAAACCTATGATTGTGGGTTCGAATCCCGGTTCGCCACGATTATGTTTCTAGGTTTGTCAGCACCATACCCGTGCTCGTGGGTTTCACCGAAGTGGTAAACAACTGAGACCTGCATCACTTTGAGCTTTCCTCTCACATTAAGCTGACACGCCGCGATATAACTGGAATACTGTTAAAAGCGGCGTAAAACAAAACTCACTCACTCTAAATGCCTTACAAACACTTGAAGGTATATGTTCTATAAGCTTTATGTCCAGTGTAACGGTATTCAAAACGTTAACGTCAGAGAATATTCGCCGAAATAGATTCCATATGGTAGTAGTGCGAATGATACGAATGGGTCACTGACAAACGGGTCACGGGCCTCCACATTGCACTTTAAGGATGCTTGTTGATAGTATCCAGAGGCAACACACGTACTCTTGGTTACCGATTGATGCCGATTTATAGTGCTAGCTCACTGAGATACCATGCCGCAGTTTAACATGAATACCCCACTCAGACACAGTATACTGACTCCGAGCCGACTAGTCCTTGTTTTAGCCCCTTAATGCCGAGGGCCAGACAGGGTAACAACAAGTACCATCTTTTAACGTCTTTTCGTATGACGCGGCCGGGGATCGAACCCCGGACCTTCCGACCTCCGGGCGGACGCTCTACCACTAGACCACGGGGTCGGTCCAAAGGTCCTACTAAGAACTATTCAGTTGTATTGCCTATTGTGACACAACAGCACGGCATGCTAGGACCGGAGTGGGACTGTTTGTTCGAGACACTATATTGTGTGGTCACTGTTTTTCTCTGTATAAATGTATGAGGCGATCAATGTTATTTTTCACAACATTTTTTTCAGGATATTCAGTACATCAATTGAACATTTATTTTCCTTGTCTAAAACCTGAGGCAACCTATTTCAAGAAGATCAGAGGCCCCAACAGACAATGAAATGTCTAATCCTCTCCATGTATCCCTTTGACATTCTCAACAAGAATTAAAATCGACACCTCGTTTTTTCACAGGTCTTACCTTTGCAGTGGCTCAAGATCAAATTTTCTATCTCTGGACGAAGACCGTCAAAATGTTTCACAGGCAGAAAATGCTGGCTGACGGGACTGGAAGGAATTTTTTGCAGCTGCTGCTCAATGTGCCCGATGTCACCAACAGCAACAACAATCACGTCAACTCCTCGGAGCTTGGCTTCGTCAGCAGCCGCCACAGCCTGATCCATATCATCTATAGCATTCTCTGTCAAGATGACGAGGTGTTTCTTCGCACCGCTCCGACTGTATCGTCCTGAATACATATCTCCCAGGACGTGGTTCACTGCAGCACCTAACAATGATTTGTCTTGGTCATCACTCGATGAACGGGCAAGTCCCAAAAGGGTCATGTCTACAATTTCTGGGTTGGACCCTTTGTCCAGATGGAGCACTTCCTGGACCCTGCTGTTATAGAAGGCATAGCCGACACGGGCCCTCTCTGGGCCAACTTGCAGAGAGTCGGCAAATGCTTTTGTGAAAAGCTCAAAGACATGTTCATCATCCTCGTCGACATGTCTGGATGCGTCCACTAGGAATACAATGTCATCCTTCCCACCACATCCTGGAGAGAAAGGAATTGTTGGTGCAGATATTCTTCAACAGTGGGTTAATAATCAATAATATTAGTGGTAGAGCTATTAAGTCAATAAGTACGCATACGATTTGGTAAAAAAGGTGAGTTGAAATCGGGTTAAACAACGCGTTCAGGATTATTGAACTTAATATATCAACGCGCATGCGCGTGAGCGTACGTGCGCGCATGCGTGCGTGCGTGTGTGCGTGTTTTCTTGTAGTAGTCCGAACTTGTACCGGTTTTATAGTGCTAGCCCCATGAGATACCATGCCGCAGTTCAACATGGATACCCCAGACAGACACGGTATACTGACTCCGAGCCGACCAGTCCTTGTTTAAGCGCCTTAATGCCAACCGCCAGACAGGGTAACAACAAGTAGGGCCTACCATCTTTCAGTGTAGGCCTAAAACATCTTTGCTTTGAAGCATACTAAAGAAAAGAGCTTCCAGAAGGCGAATCAGTTTTCGATTGTATGAGTGAGTGAGTGAGTTGGGTTTAACGCCGCTTTTAACAGTATTCCAGTTATATCACGGCGTCGATTGTATGACAATCAACTGGTTTAACTCCTACAGACAAAATAATGGTTTGTTTAACGCCGCGCTCAGCAATGTTCCAGCTATAGTGGCGAAGTGCCGTATCAAATCGGCCCAGACTCAGTTTTTCGAGGAGAGGCTTTCTGAATGACCACTGCATCGAGTTTATGTGCAGTGTGTTGAGAAGATCAGCAATCCTGCAGAGTATTTCACTTGGATGAAGCCGCCTGGCCTGAAAAGTGAAACAGAAGGCTTTCTGTTTGCGGCTCAGGACCAGTCACTTCCAACTCGAAACCGTCAATGTGTGATTTTGCATCAGAATGTAAATATGAAATGTAGATTATGTAATGAATTTAATGAGACTGTCCAACACATTGTGAGTGGATGCCCAGCTTTGGCACAGACACAGTATCTTAAGCGACATGATGGGGCTGCTCGATCATTTTATCACCGTCTTCGCCATGCGTGTGGTTTTGACACAGAGGTCCATCCATGGTACGACCCGGAATATGTAGTCTGGACGACACAATCCAGTGATTGACATCATTAGCATCGATCAACGCAATTGGTTCAGCGAGCATGACGACCCGATCCCGTTAGTCGATCGCGAACCCGTTACGACAGTCTTCGTCGCCTTTTACGGCAATCATAAGTTGCTGAAGACCTGTTATAACCCGAATCTGCACGTGTGAAAGTATCCACATTTCCCCATGGTGATTATGGGGCAGCAAGATGCCCATTACAGTGCCTGGTGTGACAACCACGATGCGGATCCGGCGGTCACGTTGTGTGACCTCGTTGAGACTCGATTATTTACAGACCGCTGGAATATTGCTGAGTGTGGCGTTAAACAACAAACAAACAAACAAACATGAAACAATATACCCCACTAATCCACATTCGGCATCGTTTCTGATCTCCAGTTCCCCGTTCCTTGTTCCCCGTTTGTTATTGGGTATAAATGTCCCCTTAAAACCACGAAAAGGTCAACATCTTCTGATATTTTTTCCTTCATTTGTTTTGTTTTTTTATCTATTGTCCGTGATATAGATAAGACCAGGCATCCAGGTACCCAGGCCCAAGTATCTTACGATACTTACCTACGTTGATGAGGCTGTTGTTCAGAACTTGAGATGCCTTCACATTGGACAGAGGAGGAAATGTTGGACAGATTGTTGGTGGGATCATCGTAGTCTGTGTAGTTGTGATAGTAGGGGAAGTGGTTGGAGTCGATGTTGTCGTGGGCGTTGTAGGTGTAGTTGTGAGCGTTGTAGACGCAGTTGTGGGCGTTGTAGGTGTAGTTGTGTGCGTTGTAGATGCAGTTGTGGACGTTGTTGACGCAGTTGTGGGCGTTGTTGATGCAGTTGTGGGCGTTGTTGACGCAGTTGTGGACGTTGTAGATGCAATTGTGGACGTTGTAGGTGCAGTTGTGGACGAAGTAGTAGGTGCGACTGTGCTTGTTGTTGTGGTGGTTGAGGTAATAGTTGATGGAGAAGAGGTTGGAAGCAAAACCATATATTTTATATATATTGAAACTATTGTAAACTTCAAACATAAAACAAATGGCTGTTCTATGATGCATTCTAGTTGACAAATCATCGCTTCATCACGGTGGTCGTCGTTCGATTCCTCACATTGGTAGCCCCCTCTTGGTATCCCCTGCTCATGCCGAGAATATTGCTGATGAGTGTAAAACCGCAGATTAGCAGATTAGCCAGGGAAGCAAAGGTTGGTTGGTTGGTTGGTTTGTTGAATAACGCCGCACTCAGCAATATTCCAGCTATATGACGGCGGTCTGTAAAAATCAAGTCTGGACCAGACAATCCAGTGATTAACATCATGAGCATCGATCCACGCAATTGGGATCGATGACATGCATCAACCAAGTCAGCGAGCCTGACCACCGATCCCGTTAGTCACCTTTTACGACAAACATAGTCGCCTTTTACGGCAAGCATGGGTTGCTGAAGACCTATTCTAGCCGGGTCGGGTCTTCACGGGTCGGGAAGCAAAGGAATCAACCGATTGTATGTTTACCTGTTGGACAGGGGTGGCCCAGTCGTCTAAGGCGCCGCGATTCGTTGTGCCAAGTTGCGTCCCTTGGGCATGCCAGAAACCTATCATTGTGGGTTCGAATCCCGGTTCGCCCCGATTATGTTTCTAGGTTTGTCAGCACCATACCCGTGCTCGTGGGTTTCATCGTAGTGGTAAACGTCTGAGACCTGCATCACTTCGGGCTTTCCTCCCACATTAAGCTGACACGCCGCGATATAACTGGAATACTGTTAAAAGCGGCGTCAAACCCAACTCACTCACTAACTCACCTGTTGGACAAATGACATTACAGAAACTTGTATTGCAGCAGTGGAAGCAGGGATGAAATACGGTGTGTTCTTTGTTGAAGATCTCACATTGCTGAAACGATAAATTGTTCATCCATAAATCAAAAATGTAGATTTCAAATAAAGCAAAAAAACATGAGCGTCTTCTGGTAGAGTTTAAGTACAGCTACAAGCTATCATTTGTACTTCCTCAGTAACTGGCATGAGGCAGGTGAAACCCCCAGCGGTAAGGTGCCGACAAACCTATTATGAATGCGTAATGGAGGCGAATCACAATCTGGAATCTGGCGTACCGTGAACAGTAGCTCCTGGTACGAGTAAGGGCCGCAACTCTGCGGGATATAAGTTGACACTTTCGGCTGCTTGGTTATAGTGCACGTTGCTATAAAAGCAGATATTTCAACTAACCTTCTCTCTCGCACATCCGGCGGTGTAGACCAGCTCGAACTGATCCGTGATTTTTTCTTCTATGTAGCAGACCTGTAATGTAAATTCTTGATAAAAATAAACACAACTGATCCAGTTTAGGATCTGTTTTTCATGAGCTGACGTTTGTTTGTTGTTTAACGCCATACAAGCAACGTTAAACAACAAACAAACAAACAAAGCGTCAGCTCATTGAACTGACGTGTAGTTCACGCATATAATATACGTATGTACAAGAGCCACAGAATATACTACATCACGAAATATCGGGGTGATTAAGGGGCGGTCGGGTAGCCTAGTGGTTAAAGCGTTCGCTCGTCACGCCGAAGACCCGGGTTCGATTCCCGACATGGGTACAATGCGTGAAGCCCATCTCTGGTGTCCCCCGCCGTGATATTGCTGGAATATTGCTAAAAGCGGCGTAAAATCAAACTCACTTACTCACTCGGGGTGATTAAGGGGCTACTTTGCATCCCCCTGTGCTACAAATGTTGTGTGTTTAGTCTTTGTGTAACGGGAGCACGGGTGCCCAAGTCATCTAAGGCGCTGTGGAGAGTTGCGTCCCTTAGGCACGCCAGAAACCCCTGATCGTGGTTCGAATCCCGGTTCGCCCCGATTATGTTTCTAGGTTTGTCAGCATACCTGTGCTTATGGGTCTGACAAAGTGGTAAACGTCTAAGACCTGTATCAATTATGGCTTTCCTCCTACATCAAGCAGACACGCCGTGATACAACTGGAATACTTTCAAAGTGGAGTTAAACCAACTCACTCATTACTTATAACGCTGCACTCGACAATATTCTAGTTGTCAGACTTATTCCTCTAAATTGTTGATTAAATGTTATTACAGCAGTGTGTATATACATAGTGTGGTTACAGCACCAAATGCTCAAACAATATTTCCAAAGAGACAACGTTATGGGTATCAGGGATGGTTGGTATCCTAGTGGTTAAAACGTTCGCTCGTCACGCCAAAGATCCGGGTTCGAATCCCCACATGGATACAATGTGTAAAGCAATTTTTCAGCAATATCACGGCGGGGACACCAGAAATGGGCTTCACACATTGTACCCATGTCGGGAATCGAACCCGGGTCTTCGGCGTGACGAGCGAACGCTGTAACCACGAGGCTACCCGACCGCCCCTTTAATTGAATTACTTTCTACAAAGCCAAGCTAAGGTTTAAAAGTACAGTTTATTGAAACGCTTTAACAACTACGCTCCAACCGCCCCTGAATGCGAGATACCAACAGTAATGTCAAGGCAGTATATTCTAAACTTACCTCATATTTTGTACTTACCTCATGGAGGTCACATATTTTTATTCGGTCACAATCTGACATGTTCTTAATGTCATCACATCCAGCGCACCTCAGATGTTGTATTTCTGTAACGTAGTGTGTGCATATTCTTTGATCATTTTTATATCCCACTTTAAAAGGCATTACTGGAAATAACTTTAAAAATACAGACAGAGCAAAGTGTTCTTTTTAAGGGACATGGTGGCTCGTGGCCCATTTGTTGCCAGCCTGCGATGGACGGACGAGGGAGATCGAAAACTATTTAAACTTACAAACAAACCACTGAATTATTGTCGTGAGCTTTATTTTGTTTAACAGAGGTGAGGTTAGGTGAAATTGGGTCCAAGATTATTGCACTTATATAGCGACGTGCATGCACGTGTGTGTGTGTGTGTGTGTGTGTGTGTGTGTGTGTGCGTGCGTGCGGGCCTGCGGGCCTGCGTGCGTGCGTGTGTGGCTGCTTGTCCTAGTCCGGACTAATGCCGATTTATAGTGCTACCCCGATGAGATACCATGCCGCACTTTAACATGAGTACCCCAATCAGACACAGTATAATGACTCCGAGCCGACCAGTCCTTGTTTTAGCTCCTTAATGCCGAGCGCCAGACAGGGTAACAACAAGTACCATCTTTTAACGTCTTTTGGTATGACGCGGCCTGGGATCGAACCCAGGACCTTCCGCTCTCCGGGCGGACGCTCTACCATTAGACCACGGAGGCGGTCTGTTCAACATGGTCCCCTCGTGGTATAATACACGTGTTCCATCTATTCTGTTCTGTCAATCAGCCCTCCACAGCAACAACCAAGTCCGGGTCCTATTCAAATCTCTGACCACGCAAGTGTTTTATTTTTTCAAATTTGAACACATGTGTTAGTGACTGGGAGGTCAGATCTAGGCCCACTTGCACATACTGATCTTAGCGCTAAGATGATCGTAACTCCCATACTTTGACATAGGCTTACGATAGTCTTAGCGCTAAGATCGCTTTGTGCAAAAGGACCCTGGTGCATAGATAGGTGGAGCAGTAGCTCGCGTCTGCATCAACTACAGCAGCCGCTGTATCATGGAGGTTTGTCCTGATGGAGGAGAACATCATGTCGAAGATTTTCACGGCACTTCTGTTTGACAGACTCACGGAATATGTTTAAAAGGTTGGCATGATATTTACCATTTCCCGTTCACTTTCAAAATTAGGATACATATGCAACTAAAAAGATAAACTACAAATAATAAACTTCACCTGATGAAGGAGTAAGCATATACTCCGAAACGTTTGTGTTAACGTTGGCAATACTGCAAGGTCGAGGTCAACTCACCATGGCCGCCACAGAGGAAGTTGGTCAGTACGTAACTTGGTGGATTATTGTCTTTGTGTTAACGTTGGCAATACTGCAAGGTCGAGGTCAACTCACCATGGCCTCCACAGAGGAAGTTGGTCAGTATCTAACTTGGTGGCGTATTGTCTTTGTGTTAACCTTGACAATACTGCAAGGTCGAGGTCAACACACCATGACCGCCACAGAGGAAGTTGGTCAGTATCTAACTTGGTGGCGTATTGTCTTTGTGTTAACCTTGACAATACTGCAAGGTCGAGGTCAACACACCATGACCGCCACAGAGGAAGTTGGTCAGTATCTTACTTGGTGGCGTATTGTCTTTGTGTTAACCTTGACAATACTGCAAGGTCGAGGTCAACACACCATGACCGCCACAGAGGAAGTTAGTCAGTATCTTACTTGGTGGCGTATTGTCTTTGTGTTAACCTTGACAATACTGCAAGGTCGAGGTCAACACACCATGACCGCCACAGAGGAAGTTGGTCAGTATCTAACTTGGTGGATTATTGTCTTTGTGTTAACGTTGGCAATACTGCAAGGTCGAGGTCAACTCACCATGGCCACCACAGAGGAAGCTGGTCAGTATCTAACTTGGTGTACTATTGTCTTTGTGTTAGCCTTGGCAATACTGCAAGGTCGAGGTCAACTCACCATGACCTCCACAGAGGTAGTTGTTGCAGAAGTCGTCTTCACAGCACTCCTCACAGACGTGGACTGCAATGTTCTGTCGCCTCCTCCTCCCAGTTTGGGGCTGACCAGTTGTCTGAGACTGTCCTGCTAGTCTCTGTTGTATCTCTGCAGCACTGACGGTGAACCCGGCCGCTGAACAGATCTGAAGATGCAAGCCTACACTGAGAAGCAAAAGAAACTACACTTCTCAGCCGATTAATTGTCAATTGAAAAGGTCTTAAGTCAGCAATCTTTTATCCAAAAAATGAACTGTACTTGCGTTTTGTCAGCCTTTAAAGAATTGTACACAGTTTTATTATTTTATTTATATAAATTTCTGTATTACTTTTAGAATGAAATAACAATTATCTCTCATAATGCCAAGATGCTGATGGGTATCTTAGACATTTTATCTTTGAAAATAAAATAAAAAAATTCACGGCACAAATTTACAACAATTCTCATGGTTGCAAGTTCATTTTTTACCAAGTCCATCATATACCACAGAGGCATCTTTTGGAAGATATGCGATACATCTTTTTGAAACCACATCATACACATCTGCATAACAGTTATAAGTCTTCATAAAGTTTGAAAATACATCTGACACTCACTGATTCCTGTTTACAGCCGATGTCGTAGAAAATGAAGCCGTTTGCTGTGATATACTGCTCTGACATGCATATCTGGAGAATACATAATGACAGATATAAGAACCAATGTCATGGTGAGAGAGTTAATCGGGTTTATAATAGTATTCTAGACTTGTTGTATCACGACCGCCATGTTTAAGAAGAAAGGAAGGCCCACAGTAATGCATCTCATAGAGGTTAAGGGGGCACGGGTGGCCTAGTCGTCTGAGGCGCCGCGATTCGCTGTGCAGAGTTGCGTCCCTTGGGCACACCAGAAACCTATGATTGTGGGTTCGAAACCCGGTTCTCCCCGATTATGTTTCTAGGTTTGTCAGCACCATACCCGTGCTCGTGGGTTTCACCGAAGTGGTAAACGTCTGGGACCCGCATCACTTCGGGCTTTCCACCCACATGAAGCTGACACGCCGTGATATAACTGGAATACTGTTAAAAGCGGCGTTAAACCCAACTCACTCACTCATACATGTTAACCACCATGGTTGAAACACAGGGCGCAAACAAACAAGAATCATAGCCGCAAAGTCGAACCCACACCAGGGGATCTTGGAAACTAAGGGACCTAACTCTGTTAAAACTATTATGTAGCTGGTAACAGTGAGTGAGGTTGGTTTAAGGCCTTTTGAATAGTATTCCAGTTAGCTTGTCAGTGAAGAGCCCGAAGTGATGTAGGTCTAAGACGTTTACCACTTTGGTGAAACTCATGGTGCTGACAAACCTGGAAGCATAATCGGGGCGAACCGAGATTCAAACGCATAATTATAGGTTCCTGGTGTGTCCAAGGGACACGACTCTGCACAGTATGCCCTTAGATCGAGTCCAACCTCTATCTGGAAGGTTTACGTGCGTATGCGTATATATGCTTATAACGAACTACGGTTATTACGAACTAAAATAAGTGATCCCTTCGAGTTAACCGTAGTTTACTCTAGTAAGATGCCTGATTAGGTTCTTGTAGGACTGTTCTTACATCACCGGAGGAACACACGACGCTTGTGGTACAATCTTGTGGTTTCGCCACCCTGTCACACTGTAGGCAGTGGACCTGTCCTGGCGACGCTGTGGGAGTAAAAAGAGGATGCTCAATTATTATAAGGTGGAGAAGGGTTTAACGTTCAAGATTATTGCAATTATTGTGTGTGTCAGTGTGAGTGAGTGAGTGAGTGAGTGAGTGAGTGAGTGAGTGAGTGAGTGAGTGAGTGCGTGCGTGCGTGCGTGCGTGCGTGCGTGCGTTTTGTGCGTGCGTGCGTGCGTGCGTGCGTGTGCGTGTGTGTGTGTGTGTAAGTGAGATACCATGCCGCAGTTTAACATGGATACCCCACTCACATTGTTCTCCGAGGTGACCAGTCTTTGTTTTATCCACCTAATATCGACCGCCGGGCAGGGTAAAAACTAGTACCATCTTTGAACGCCTTTTGGTATAACGCGGCCAGGGCTCTCTTGGTAGACGTTCTATCCACAAGACAATGGAGTCGGTTTATTTTTGATGGGGGGCCGATCAATTAAGGTTACTGTTTTAATAGGGTTTTTTTCAACATGTTTTATTAACAACTCAATCTTTTCAGGGTGTCCAGCGTACAATTGCTTATTTTTTTCAAGAGAGGAGACAGAATTATTAAAATCTATACTACAATTTTGTTTAAAGATCCCTGATTTCTCCAGACACAATGCACATAGCTATTTTGAATATAAATAAAACATGTATTAAATGTTCGGTGAACCATTGGAATGATGGGGTCTCCAAAGGTTTAATATGTTACGGTTAGTGAGTGGGTGAGTTGGGTTTTACGCTGCAATGTTTTCTAGGAATATCACAGCGAGGGACGTTTTAAACCCGTGACTAGGCTACCCCACCGCCATTATTTTGTTATGGGACAGGACTGGTCACCTGTATTCAATGCTTGTCATTCGATCGTGAAGATCGTGTGGTCAAGATTGGTGACCCGCTCATTGAACGTCACCGTACCCGTCAAGGATTGGCCAATGATGTTGAGATCAATGCCATTATGCTATCCAACGGTCTCCTTAGGAACATTGGCCGTCTACCCCAAGTCGTTTGAGTGAGTGAGTGAGTTTGGTTTAACGCCGCTTTTAACAGTATTCCAGTTATATCACGGCGTGTCAGCTTAATGTGGGAGGAAAGCCCGAAGTGATGCAGGTCTCAGACGTTTACCACTTCGGTGAAACCTGCGGGCACGGGTAGGGTGCTGACAAACCTAGAAACATAATCGGGGCGAACCGGGATTCGAACCCACAATCATAGGTTTCTGGCATGCCCAAGGGACGCAACTCTGCACAGCGAATCGCCTTAGACGACTGGGCCACCCATGCCCCCAAGTCGTTTGAATGTATATATGCCTAAAAGATGAATATATGGCTTATTAATTGCTATCCCTTGTTGAACTGATTATGAAGCATACACTGACCT